ATAAAGCAGGATGGCTACCCAACAAAATATTAAAACAAGTATTGTACAAAAACCAGCCGAAAAATAAGTATGTGCATATGTAGTTTCTGAAAGTGTCCGAATATTAAAGTAACGTGGAAATCGGACACTGTTTTATTTAAACGGTATTATTCAGCAACTGTTGCAAGTTATGTAAATAAAATTTACGCTATTATTTATTAAGGGTATACGTCATCATAATCCTTAATCATTTTTTTTTTTTTTAGAAATAAAGTTATAACGTAATATAGTAAAAATCTCATAGTGTCCGAATATTAAAGTTACTCACTGTATGTGAACTTGGCACCCGACTTTGGAAAATCAAATTTTTTTTTATCGACTTATAGATTTAGGTTGTTTGTAGTACCAATTTTTTCGTTTGTAGTGGACCCAAAAAAAAGTTATAGCATCATAAAAAAAGCCCATCCACCGACTTTGAAAAAAATAAAATCTAATCACTGATTCCTGCAGAGAATCGTTTGTAGTTGATTGTAGTGAAAGAATTTCCGTTTGTAGTAGCATAGAAACTATATTATTGTTTCCTTTAAAACGTTTTGGAGAGTATAAGTATAGAGAAAACCTTGTAATTATAATATCATTTGATATAAAGCAGTCACAAAATAAGATACCTAAGTACATAATTGGTCCTCATATTTTCAGTGTATTTAACTGTCAAAAGAAAAAAAGAAATATCAATTTCCTATTAATTAGTATATTAAGCACATTGCCAGACTGACTGGAGAAAAGCGTGCGAAATTTTTATCCACACGTAGATGTAATATACATACAGTCATGAAAAATATTCCTTAACCCACTCGACTAATATATCCTGATAATATATTTGTATACCGTCAAGAATAAGGCTTTACACATTTAACGATTTGTAATCGATAAATATTGGAATTTATAAGGTCTTATGAGAAAGGGATAGTGAGGATATGTGTGGGTTTGGAGGATGTTAATGCAAAGATTGAAGGAGCGGGAAGTGCAATTCATGAAGAATGAGAGAATCATGAAGAGAGAAAAAAACAGAAAGAGAAAAAAGAAAGTAAGAAATTGAAAAAACAAAAGAAAGAGAAAGAAATAGAGAGAGGGGGGGGGGGCTGAGAGGAAGAGCGAGATCGAGAGAGAAAGAGAGAGAGAGCTTTGAATAGTGCCTGCTTTAAATCGAATTATCGATTACTAAGATTGGTAGATACATTATACTTACCTAAGGAGTGAAAGGGACTATGATCAAACGGAACGAATAAATAATAATTCCGTATATGAAGATGAAACATAACCCTGCTTTTAAAAAATCGATTAAAACCGATTAAAAATAGTCGGAAAGAATCAGATTTACGTGTAGAAAATTTCATGTAAAATCTTATAGATATTTACTTACTACTACTGAAAATAAATGAGATTCCCATTAATTCTATTGAAAAATTTATTTGTTTGTGGGGTCAAGTCATAAAGTGATATTGAACATGATAACCTATTCTTTCCGAATCAATTTGTATTTTATTTTCAATTAGAATACAAATCCTTCCAATTGCCCCCATTTTGATTGAATCGGACGTCTATCGGTTTTTATTGATTTTAATTGGATTTTTTAAGCAGGGAATGATATCATAACAATAAAATACATACATAAGTACTTGATGTCCAAAAGTGACTTGGAATATGCACAACAAAAGTAATGATTTTGAATGTACTTAGATAAATACCTGTACAGTTGTGACATTAATGGAAGAACCGTATTGCGGATCTATATGGACGAGTTATTTAATAACTTAATCATGTCTCAAGCTAATATTGAATTGAAGTGCTTCGATAATTTTATTTTACTGCTTCAATAATGTCGTAGCGAGATATCGTTAAAATTTGAAAGGACTCAAGTTATAAAATCTTCTTGTCACGCTGTACTATCGGTTCACGTTTCTCAAAAATACCCTTACATGTACATATATACAATCGACTTGATCGTAATCATATGTAAATATGTACTGTTACATGTGCAGTGGTAACTATGAATATAACAGAAATTAGTTATTTAGTATAACTTTCAAGTTCAACTTACTTTTATCTTGGGCTCATCCACTTGTAAAATGGTATCGAAAATGCTCCCACCAATCACCACCTGTGTAAGTAAATTAATATTTCAAAGTAATTTACTAAAGACAAAACAAATATATTTGGCAAATGTCAAAAAATTGATTATATAGATTGTCCATAGATACAGTATCTTATACAAATTTAATTTAAGGTATACTTTTTATGATATGTGGTTAGTTATTGTACTTACTGGAGGTTTTGTTGCTTTGAACGAACTTGCAATCTTATATGCCTGAGGATATAAGTTTTGTATAATAGAAAGCTCTTTTGCTATTTCTGCAGCAACTTTGGCATTGTTTTCAATGAGAGCTTTGTCTGCAGGAAAGATAACAGTTAATTAAAAATAATATCAATACATACCCGTTTAATGTATCATTTAAATACTCTTAGGTACTTACTAGCTCTAAGAGATTCTCCAGCAGTCAGTTCTGTAACTTTTTGCAAAAGAAATGGCGTAATATTCTTTCCACTGATTCCATTACATTTGGCTTGCTCTAAAGCATCTTGAATAGCAATTTCTAATTCCATAGGATCTAGCGAATATTCTTTTGGAATAGGAACTGTTAATAGGATCCCTGTATGAAATTGTAGTTTCCTCTGTACTGCTATGAGTTCAGCAGCATCTTTAGAATTATAAACATGAATGGGAGATATTATTTTATCCTTTGTTTCATGACAATAAAATGCTGGAAATGCATTTGAAGTTCCCACAGAGACAACAGGAACACCTTGTGTTTCCTATAGGAGTAAAACATAAGTTCCTAAACAATTTAACGTTAGAGTTTTTCTAACAATTTATTTTTTACTAACTAAGTATTCAAGAGTCTTAGGAATATCAAGAATGGCTTTAACTCCAGCACATACAACCGCAACAGGGGTCCTGCCAAGCTCGGATAAGTCTGCACTGACATCAAATGTTAACTCAGCACCTCGATGTACACCACCAATTCCACCAGTAGCCATTATTGGAATGCCAGCCAAATTGGCCACTAACATAGTGCCACTGACTGTTGTACCACCATTCAATTTTTCAGAAATAACAAGTGGAAAATCTCGTCTTGAACATTTGATTGTATTGCTTGTAGAATTTGACAATTTTTTAATTTCCTCTTCACTTGTACCAACATGTATTTTACCATCCAAAATACTTATTGTTGCTGGAACGGCACCCTACATTCAAAAGATTACACTTAATCAGTCATTAAATACATACTCTGGAATATAAGCAAAAAATATTTATGGCTGTAAAAAGGTTTCTATTTATTTATAACAGCAATTTAAAAAAATTTTTTATTTATAAATTTATTATCCAGTTGTTTGATCGACTACGAATTGATACATATATAATTGTGTTTACATAAAAAAAATCATGTTAGTATAACCAAAAAGATATAATAATTCCAACCACCTGCTTCCGTACAGTCTCTTCGACTTTCAGTGCAGTATTAAAGTTGTCAGGATACGGCATACCATGGGTGATTATCGTTGATTCTAAAGCAACGATGGGCCAACCATTCTTTTTGGCAGTTAGAACATCATCCGAATATATAATTTCACTCTGTGTCATTATTGTACATGTATCATTCTTTAAAGACTTAAATTTTAGAACTTTTGGAAACAGTCGAAATCCAACTCGTACGTGATACATTGCAAAGGAATATAGAATTTGCTTTCAAATAAGTTATTCGAACGTATTTACTAATAGCTACCGGGAATGAGATTTTAGATTTGGTTTTTGTAAATGATCTATTCTAGCTAACGATCATTGTTTCACACAACAGTAACACAAGTCTCAGGCATCTGTTCAACGTTTACTGTATATACAATAAACTTTCTGTAGATATTATGAATGGTTATCAGTCTTTTATCAACTATCTCATAATATTTATCCAATCACCATCCTCAGATTAAGATTAATAAGAACTTTTCTGTTTTATGTTTAACGAACATATAATTTTGAAATGAATTTTAATAATAAGCTAATCTTAATTTCTCGTGCGTTGAAAAAGACTATTAAAAATGTTACTTTTTATTTCAAATTTACTTAGACTTATTGGTGAAGTGACGTGTTGTAGGACATGCGCAGCGTAACGACAATCTATCCAGCGTAAATGGGAATGTTCAGCAGAAACACCGCTGAGGGAGCAAATACATTTGATTGGTCAAATCTCACAACTGTTTCAAGATTAACGATCTAATGACTAATCAAATGTATGTATTTGCTCCCTCAGCGATGTTTCTGCTGAACATACCCAATGATAACGTGATGACTACGATGATCGTCGTATATGACATTTGAATAAATTGTGAATATCCATTTTATATTTATGACATTTCAGAGGATATCCAGTCTATATTATCTCAAATATCTCATTTAGATATCCACAAGACTTTTTCTGAACTTTTGAACTAGTGGTTATTAATCGCATTCGTAATTGAATTCACTCATGCACTTTCACTTTACCAACAATGCATACATATTAGAAGGAGATGAGTGTGGTGCAAATTCATGTAACCTGTATTGTTAAAACTAGTCGGAGTGGACTGGAGTGGACAGCGTGGAACTAACATCACGAATACATAAAAAAAAGTTAGCTTATGATAATGAGTTAACCGATGAATAATAATTAATAAGTAAAAATACGAAAGTCATCATTAATTGACTTCAGTCGTGTACAGGACGTTGTGATTTGGAAGACGAGGAACGAAATAGAATGGCTGGAACAACTAAAGGCACAAAAAAGAAGGATACTGGAATATTAGCTAAATTTTATTTATGTACTTATAATTTGATAGAGGCCATCGGGTGAGTGCTTAGAAAACGATGTGTACACATATTGATATATTCATATTCTATAAAAATTCTTAATATATCATTTGAAGAATGTATTTACAGAATTGAAGATTTTGTGTATTCCTTAATTTAATCATTTTCAAAATATCATGATCCACTGAGAATAGTAACGAAGTATCTATTCCATTAATTATGTTAACAAATTTAATTTCTTGTGTGAATCTCATATTTATTTGATCCTTGATATACTTTCTATTTAGATGGAGTTATGTGTTGTACTCAGTAACAAATTATTACACTTTATCATCAAGTAAGGCAAGCTTATGGGATACTGTGAAATACAGTCTCATTATCTTTCAAAATGCAGCTGTATTAGAGGTTTGTTATTAACAGACAAATTAATGTTTTTACATTACAGTCATACTGTTTTGTATGGCACGGAATCACTAGCAACAGAATAATGTGAATTTGATCATTATTATTTAAAATAATATGAAAAATAAATAATTCTAGATAATACACGCAGCTACAGGATTGGTACCATCAAATCCTGTAATTACAATGATTCAAGTATTCAGTCGAGTGATGGTTGTGTGTGGGACCTTATTAGCTGTACCAGTTAACTATACTGCCTCATGTTTTGGTTTTACATTAATTCTCTATGCTTGGTCCATCACTGAAATCATTCGATATTTGTATTACTTCACAAATATTATTGGCTTTGTACCACACATACTTGTATGGCTCAGGTAAGAAATCAAGTGATTAAAGTTATTAAGTAGCATAGAATTTATTTTTGATATTATATGATACTTATTGCATATTCATTGTATATAAAGAATCATAATTTGATTATTGTTAAACAACTTTTCTTTCACAGATATACAACGTTCATTGCACTGTATCCAATTGGTGTTACTGGTGAGCTACTTTGTTTTTATTCTGCTCAAAAGTATGCAAGTACACATCCTGATGCATGGAGTTATAATATGCCTAATGCCTGGAACTTCACATTCAGCTATCACTACATTTTGATAGCAGTCATGCTGCTGTATATTCCACGTAAGATTTTTTAATTCTATATGTATATCTACATGGGAAAACTAATATGAAATTCTCTTTAATCAATTGTTCCGTTTTTGTTACAGTTTTTCCACAAATGTATCTTCATATGTTCGTGCAAAGGCGTAAAATTTTAGGATCCTCTTCCACTGTACTATCTAAGAAAACCCTCTAAATTAATTCTTTATGTTTTGGGTTATTTGTTATAATTATTTAATATCAATGAATCTACGATGATTTTGTTGCGGGCATGCTCAAGTTAATCATAATAATAATATAAATATATATTTTCGGGTGTATAAAAATATATAAAAGTATGAATAACCGTTTGCCCCCACTTTTATTTTTATATGTATAATTAGCGCAATATTTTATTTAGTACAAATGATATATCAGCTAAAAATGTAATATATTTTTATCAATATATATATATAAACGATCACCGCCGTGATTCACTTTCCTTACACGGCGGTCTTACTCCAATTTAGTTGTTACCGGTCTAATGGAAGCAATCAATTTCAAACATTACATTGAAGTTGAAATGTTTGTAATTTGTCCACTTTTTTAGATCAATAATCATTAAACCAGAGTAAGATAGCCGTGTAAACAGTTATCGATTTGTAAAATTTCATATACAATAGACAAAATGATTTCTAGTACTAAATATCAGAACTATACCAGTAGGTGCAGCAGAAATTTATTATAAAAATTTAAATTTGCTACGTAGTACGGATATTTAAAACAACTTTTTTTTTCTTTTTTTCTTTATTATCTTATTTTTACAAAAAGATTTTATGCCTGATCTCCTGTTGGAGTTGATTTTATAATGTCAGAATTTCCAGGGTCAGTGATAGAAAGTGTGCATACACGGAAGTATTTTCCGCACGCTGTTCCTAACTCGATATTGTTCCCTGAGTAATGATGTACTCCAGTTTTAGCAAGCATCGCGTAGTATTCAATTTCAGATTTCCTGTTTAAATAAAATTAGTTTAGATATTTCATAAAGTTCCAGATCTCATTGTACCTTCTGCACTTACAAACAGAGGCATGAGACTACTCCGTAGAACTTCTCAATCCCTTGTAATACAATTTGACATAGATGTTACGATAATGAACTCAATAATACAAAAATCTTCAGATATTCCAATATTGCAATATTATACTATTTATGGCATATATTTGTTTGCCCTATTTACGCTACCTGCATGAACGCAGAAAAATTGTAGTTTGGCTAGCTATAATGAAGGTGCCAGCAAGTGAAACAAATCTATACTATTTCATTATTGTAACTGTTTATGTTAATTTTTTAAAGGACGAGGAGTGCTACATCTCAGTCTCACCTTAGGGATGGGGTATTATTGGCAATTATAACCAATTTTGCTTTGCCTTGGCGAAGGGACTTCAGAGTCTGCTTGTAGCCCAGCACGTATTTACCAGACTTCATAACCAATGCAAGTCTGGAATTGATGCTCTCCAAAGCCTTTTTCTGTACACAATATTTTTGTTAAGTGATTAGAATAATAAATATCTCTATTAATACATTTGCAAATAAATAAATTGTTATGTTAAAAAAGATTTTCTTTACAAAACTAATTGCGAACACGTGGATGATCATAGTTATTACCTGTTTCTTTTGGGCGACCATTTTGCTGATATAGCTTCACTGGCACCTATTAACATATAAAAAGGCAAATAAGTTCTATTTTCGAAAATTAAATAATATTTACAGCAAAGTTTTAAAATGACTACGGAGACCTCGAAAAGCAGAACCTACCTCTATGAATATCAAACAAGAAAAGAAATAGACATGGCGGTGGAGTTAGTTTACTATATATAACGTGGATATGGATTACATAGATGAACGAAAGAACTTCTATTACTTCAGCAACGATATCTGGTGACAATTTCGAAAGGTATATTGTTTCCAATGAGCCAACTTGTTCCGACACACATCTCTATCATTGGTCATTTCGAAAGTATTCTGCTGGAGCCAACGAATGGTGATACATTGAGGATTTTCTGTTTATCAACGTTTATACCACTTTCCTCCTATACAGGCTTCATTTTCACCGTGCAGAGTTTGAATAGAGTTAAGCAACCTCATTGGTCAATTCCATTCGACTCCTATACATGATTGGTTAACTATATTAAAACTCTGTACGGTGGAAACTAAGCCATATGCAATGAAGAATGAAAACCTAGGGAAATATCCCTAGTGGCCATCCATGCTAGGGATTTTCTCTCCTACCTGCTTGTCTCTTTTCAACGTAAAAAAAAGAAGAAAAAGCTAGAGTAGTAACCAGAGATGAGTAGGGAGATTGCCAATGAGACCTCCGTAAAGTTAGCCGGGCAACTTCGACTTATCGAATTTCTGTACTTGCACATCGATTGTTAGTCATTTGTTATTGATTGTTAGATTAATTAAAACATTTGTTAGATAATAGTTTTTTTGCCATAATTAAAATAAATTTTAGTGTTAAGTTAGCCAAAAAATATTGATTTTTTCACAGTTTTTGTTTCCAAACGGGTGCAATCGATGTGAAATCGTTTGTTAGTCCCGAATAAACTAATAAAAACATTAGTTTAAAAAAGAAAAAGCATTAGCTTGCAGTTTTGACCCCTTAATTATATTTCCGGCCATCTTCACATCGCATATTCCATGCCTTACCCCCACTCCCGGCCAGCGAGACGGTAGATGGTTTTTCGCTATTTTAGGTGAAATCGTTATCTAACAAATGTTTTAATTAGTTTATTCGGGACTAACAAACGATTTCACATCGATTGCATCTGTTTCGAAACAAAAACTGTGAAAAAATCAATATTTTTCGGCTAACTTAACACTAAAATTTATTTTCGTTATTGCAAAAAAACTATTATCTAACAAATGTTTTAATTAGTTTATTCGGGACTAACAAACGATTTCACATCGATTGCATCTGTTTCGAAACAAAAACTGTGAAAAAATCAATATTTTTCGGCTAACTTAACACTAAAATTTATTTTCGTTATTGCAAAAAAACTATTATCTAACAAATGTTTTAATTAGTATAACAATCAATAACAAATGACTAACAATCGATGTGCAAGTACAGAAATTCGATAAGTCGAAGTTGCCCGGCTAACTTTACGGAGGTGCCAATGAGCCTGTTTTTGGTGGTCTCAATTTTTCTCTGGTTTCGGCGCGCCGCCTTAGCGGAGGGCCCTCGAAGCAGTTCCACGTTTTTGATTGGTCGTGTATATATAATAATACTACGCGTGATAATCTGGAGCTGTGTTTTGGCGCGTCGACGCACCACCTGAACGAGACTCTCGAACTAGTTCCACGTTTTTGATTGGTCGAATGAATTCATGTGTTCCTTGAGATCCACGATTTTAAACCAGATGAACACTCAAATAGGGAGACTTGGATCCACCCTTTCTTACTGCATACTACATAAACCGTAGTAATGAGGTAGTAAATGTTGCCAAAGTTAATTTCCTTAATATCCATATGAAGCTTTGTAAATAATAGAGTGAGCAAATAAAACTTTAAACAAACCTTCGAACGTTATCAACATTTTTTTTTTAATCAGACCATGCTGCGACCACGGCACATTAAAACAAAAAATGAAATGGAGAAATGTATCTATGTTAGAAATGCAAAAGTGTTAAGCGTTAAGCGAAAGAAAGGAGATATATTTCCATTTCTGTCAATTTTTCTCTTACGTCTTCATGAGAGTCCGTATCGCAACAAGTGAGGCTGCTCAGTTCCACCAGCTATGGATTATCATGTACGAAGAACATGCATTGGGCGCGTTAGCAACGATTCAGCTTCGTAATCGTAAGGTGCCGCGTTCGCGTCTGGAGACGAAAACTTTTTTGTTTAATTTTTTTAAGAGGTAATGCCACTCTAACGGCTCAAAAAAATAAAATATTGTGGTCAATTATTATTAAAAAATAGCATAGAGAAAAATTGAGACCACCAAAAACAGGCTCATTGGCAATCTCCCTACTCATCTCTGGTATGAGGAAGAACAAGAGAGTGTATGGGTGAGAACGAGACGAATCGAATGTGAGGATTATTGGAAGTGAGTTACTACACACTATACAGCGGACCAGACAACACATGGGACTGACCTTCAGACAGCCTTTTACCTAAACATAAACACAAATGATTTAAAGGTATGTATAAAACTATAGAATTGCTGAGTTACCTAAACTTTAACTAAACTAAACTAGATTAAGCTTTAATTTTAGTTTCTGCGAAAAAGTCAGTGATTGCCGTGATTATATTTTCTTCTGATGAGAAAAGATTTCCTGCATCGAATGGCGGGAAGCACTGATTCTCAATCAGCCTTTTTCTCAACGCAGTTGACTGTGTTCTTACTAAGGGCCAGTTCCACATACAATGATTTAAATCCTGATCTTCTATGCCACATCCACAGAGGCTCGACTCAACAGCCCTGATGCGGTTCAAGTGCGCAGCTAAAAAGGTGTGTCCTGTTCTCATTCTATTGACAATTGTGATCTGGGGTCTGTTTAGACGGAGCTTTGCGAACCAAGGGGCACTGTAATGGAAAACTGATTCTGAAAAAAGCACCTTCTCTTTGTTTGACCATATATTCTGAAGTGTTCCATTGCTTGAGCATTAGCCTTACAGAATAGTGTGGGGAGCAAGTCCCCCAGAACGACTCGGCTAGAGTCAGGTAGAGCTAAATCCAAGGCAGCCCTTGCTTCCCTATCAGCAATTACATTTCCCTTGATCCCCTTTTGCCCTGGAACTAATCTTAAGAAGATTTGAACGTTCTTACTGAATGCTTCTTGAAGCTTGATTCTTATTAGAAACACCATCGGGTTGGTATTTGGGTTGGCTCCGTTTTCTCCTATTGCTTGCAGAGCTCTGAAGGAGTCGGTGAACACGTAGGAGGTTTCTGGGCGATTCGTCCTTAAGGATTCTTTTAATTGCTTTCAGGATGGCGCATATCTCAGCATTTAGAATAGAGGTGAGATCTGCCCAGTTCTGAATCGATCTATTATATGCCTTATAGTATAGGGATAGCATGGTCAGCGGGTGCGATCCCCACGTCGAGGAGGAGATCGCCTTTAGAACTCTGGTGCCAACATCGCATCTTTCCTTTATGTACTTAATATGACCACTTCAGAGTAATTCAGGGTCAAAGATGACACCCAGGATTCTAACTATAGAAGACGGTGATATATCCACTCCTAGATATCTTAAACCTAATTGAGGAATGCGACGTTTACGTGAAAAAATCATCCATTTGGTTTTTGTAGGTTCTATTTCTAAGCCCTTTGAGCGAAGAAAGCCTCCAAGGGCACAGAGGGACCTCTCCATCGTTTCGACCAGCTGTTGGGTCTCCCTACTGGACGCATACATCACCAGGTCGTCCGCATACATGAGTACCTGGCACTCGTTCGCCTAAGAATCTGCGACCTCTCGTAGGTATGGATTAAACAGAATAGGACTAAGTATGGATCCGTAGGGCAAACCTTTTGTACAGATTCCCTCAGCTACCTTCCGTGGTCCTAAAAATACCTCTATGTACCTTTCTTTTAGGAGTTTCCAGAGGACACGGCGAATTCCCCCAGGAAGTCCTAGGTGGTTCAGCTGTTCGACCAGGATCGATGGAATGACGTTATCAAAGGCACCTTTAACATCCACAAACACCGCCCCCAGTTGTTTACCTCCCAGAAAAGCGGTATGTACGTCAGCACATAGACACGATATGTTGTCCATGCAAGATCTGGATTTCCTAAATCCGAACTGGAAGCGCGGAATTAGCTTATTTTTTTCCGCTTACCAATCTAGCCTGAAGTGTATAAGCTTTTCAAATATTTTCTGTATACAGGACGCCAGTGCTATGGGCCTATAACCCTGCGGTGCCTTTGGAATAAGAACACAGGAGTACTGAGTCCAAGATATGGGGATTTCCGAAGTCTCCAGAAAAAGGTTAAAAAGTTTTAATATATGGTTCTTTGCTTTTGTGCCAAAGTGTTTAATAATCCCGTAGCTTATGAGATCAGGACCTGGGGCCGATCCGATCTTGACTGAATCTATCGCGGCGTTAAGTTCATACAATGAGAGAGGAGAATTGGGCCATACATTTTGAGTCTGAAAGGTGTCTGGCTTCAACACAGGCTCCGGATCCCTCACCGACGGAGGTAAATATTTTTCCAAAAAGCTAATTAAGTGGGGTGAAACAAGATCCGAGCTCGCGGGTGGTTTGTTGTTGTATCTATTCTCAAAGGCTACCGTATTTCTCCAAACCTGATGTCTGAATTTGGACCCAAGGAGTTACAAAAATCGCGATAGCTTTTCCTTTTTGCTTCCGCAAATATCTTTTTCGACTGTGAGATAGCAGTCTTCAGGGACTTAAAGTTCTCTTGCGAGGGTAGTTGTTTATACCTAAAGTGTACATGTTTCCTGTTGGCCAGGGCTCTAGCGCAGTTTTTGTCCCACCATACTGTGGATGGGAAATGTTTTTTTCCAGACTTTCGTTGCATTGGGCTGGACGATCTATCAAATGGTTTGGCCCCTAATATCATTAAGCATGTTTTGACCTCATCAATAAACCAATCGTAATCTCCAGCCCGTACGCACGAGTCCAGTAATCTTATTTCAATCCTACGTTCCAGGGAATCAGAGAAATCCGGCCAATCTACGCCACCCAACCTAATCCCGGGCCTCCCCTGCTTCGAGGGCAAAGGACTGCAGTCGTACTCTATGGCTAGAGGGATGTGATCGCTAGCATTGCAGTCATCAATCGGACGCCACCTGAGAAGTAAAATTGTGTCGTGGGTTGCCATGGAAAGGTCCGGTGAGCCCTCCTATCCGGTATCCTAGTGACGGAACCGTCGTTGAGGGTGCCCCAGTCGCTATCTTCTAGAGCTTCATAAAGGTGGGTGCCCAAGGAGTTATTTCCAGTAAAGGAACTCCAGCTAGAGTATAAAGTGTTTAGATCAGCTAAAAAAAGGCTGTTCTGATGCGGCAATTCATTAAGGATTGATTCCCACAGAAGTGTGGAAGATGGACCATCCGGCGCTCCATACACCGCAAAAATCTTCATTGGACGTTGCTGCAGGAGTAGTTCAACCCCTATAATTTCCAGACCCTGTCTGCACATTGATTCGGTGTAGTCCACTGGAGAATAGGGAATACCCTTCCTAATTAAAATCAGAACCCCACCCCCACGATTGAAGGAGGGCCTATCCCTTCTATATTGTTGTACCCTTTGATTGAAAAGGAATCCCTAGGTTGAAGCCAAGTCTCGCTAATACAGACAATATCTATCTCTCTTAGCAGGATGTGGAGTTCATTTACCTTATTTAGTACACTCCTAGCATTCCGCTATACTTGGGACTTGATGAAATAGGACTTGATTAATACGAGTTCTAGTAACACAATTAAAATCTGTATAATATTTAAAAAAAGTAACCTAATGATTTAAATTTACAGAAAAGGCCTGCCGACCCTAAGAAAAAAGAAAAAGAATAGAAAGAAAGAAAACCAAAAAAAAAAAAAGAAACTGCTATCGCGGTCTAGCGCAGGAACTCGCCCTCGAGAGGACCGCCCTACATCTATCCACCCGCTCCGAAGACCCCTGCCGACCTCCTGCGAGACTCTGCGGAGCAGAGTCCAGGAGTCAAAATGGGGAGGAATTATAAGAATGGGAAGAGATAAGAGATAACCCGAAAAGCATACGCTCGCGAGCGGAAACGCCGATACACCGCCGGTAACGTTCCCAACCTCCAAGCAACTCAACGAGTTCGACCGCTCTCCTGGAGTGGAGACGAGAAAAACAACAAACAATTACAGCGGATCGCACGGCTCGTTTCAGAACCAGACTTTCAGCATGGAAGGCTCTCACATCAAGAGGCAGCAGGCGGACGGACGAGAGAATCACTTGGAGGACATGCTGACAACGAGCTTGATGAGCTCCGCAATCAAGTCTCTATTTGAAGAACACAAGGTCTCCAGTTGATTAGCAATTGCTCCAATGTCACCACGGGGGTTTCTCAAATCCATTGTCGAGGAATGACCAGATAGGTCGTCGCCTGATTCATCTAGACTACCCCCTACCATCCCCGAATTAACCTCGATTTGGGAGTAGTGTTGCGACTTTTCCTTCACCGATACCTGATGTTTATAATGTACATTGGGAGGGACATCCGCAACCACATTGTTATTATCCGTCGTTACTACTTTTAATGCCTCCGACCGGCTGACATTGTTAATGGCCATGTATTTTTAAATTTTCTTTTCCAGAATAAACGAGGGGCAGTCCACGTCTGAAGCTTTGTGTGGGCCCTGGCAATTTGGGCATTTAATAAGATCTGATGTACATTCCCTCTCACGATGGTCCATAGACCATCTGGAGCATCTCACAGAGCCCTTGCACAGAGCGGCGGTATGTCCAAATCTTTGACAATTAAAACATCTATATGCCGAAGGGATAAAAGGGACTACAGGACTGTCGTAGGACCAGCATCTAATTGTCTCCGGCAGGGTGTCCCCTAGGAAGGTGACCCTAATGAGAGGTAATGGCACTTTTTCTCTTTCCTTTTCTTTATCAGTGCTTCCCCTAGCTGAAAAAAGCCTTTCCACGTCGAGAGTTTTAGGATTGCCCGAGTGAGAGTTGAACGCCTGAACTAACAAAGCTGCATCTAGTTCAGGATCAATGTCCCTGATCAGACCAACACGCGTTACACTGTACTCGGGAATAAAGGCTATCCAGTTCGGATCTATGTCGCTAACGGATGAAATCAGGTTGTTGGCCTCTTCTCTATCTTCCAAGGTAATTCTTACTGTGGCCTTGCTGGGTCGTTCTATCTTATTTAGAGACCCAAACCTACGAAGTTTGGCTCCCAGAGTAACCGGGTGGTATCTAGCTATATTCTTGGTTCTGTCTTTATGACGCAGGAGGATGACGAACGGGGGAGCAGTAGAGTCCGGAAAAACTCTCTGGTGACGAGAATCCTGTAATTCCGCTAATTCGCCATGGAAAACCTTACTGGGATGGAGAGACTGATGGTCTCCAGAGTCCACCAGGTCAAGAGGTCTCTTGCACCGACGCTGCAGGTTGACATCGGACGAATCACGAACCTCCGATCCCCCCTCCTCATCCGAAGTAGAAATGAACCCAACCTCTATTTGTGATCCAACCCCCTCCAGAGGCAACAGCAGATCTGCACTTGCCCTATCCCAGAATGACTGGTTTGAATTGTTGGCCATAAGTAAATAAGCGCGAGAGTTGAGAATTTGCGCGACCCCTAATCTCCCGCGGTCAAGAAAGTTTTGCTCCGTTACCAGGAGGAAACAGCGCTCTTCGCACCGCTCCACTCCGCCTGACCCCCCGCTGAACTGAAATCTAACTAGCTACAGGACGATAACAATTACCCATAGAACGTACAAACAAGGATTATATACAGAACCTTTGTTACAGGTCAAATACGAAGATCTGGACACACACACAAGGAACTCACGACCCTGTAGAAGGTGAACCCCGCGGCAAGCAACAGGCGCTCAAACAAGTCGAGGCATCGTCATACAGCATCGGCCATATGTTTCCTCCCGTTTCTTTCTTCTTTCAGGTGCAGATTATGCAGCTAATGTGTCCAAGCAGCTATTGCTGCATGTGCTTGCTTTGCAGGAATTAAAAATACTTTGCACTTGAGATCACTATGTCAGATCCCACTCCCCGAGAGTGGGGAGAAAAGCGGAGCGCTCTATTGCTCTTTATTAATAATAAATAAACGTATGATAATCGAAAACTCCACTAAAAATGTAAGTTTCACTGATTATAAGAATAATATTCGCTATAATTTCAAAGACCCGACTAACAAACAAGGTGCTTCAAATGAACTAAGAGAACACAGGTAGGGTACGTCCGAAAGATAACACTGTTCGAACCGAACTCCGATACATACGCCTAACTAATCAAAAACGTTGGTATGGTTCAAAGCTTCTCCGTCCAGGTGACGCGTCGACAATAGAAAACACACGCTTTACAGTGCCACCCGGTATAATCCATGCGTTCACAGAGCTCACGAATATCACGCGTAGTATATCTATTGTGACGTGATTTTTCGAATCACGGTCCCAAGGCGGCTCCGGTTACCGATATAGATAACGTTCTCGATTTCTGGTTCTCTTCGGGTTGCCACCCTGCTCAGAAGCTACGCTCTCGGATTGATTCGTACAGTTATGTCAAGGCTCTCGTAAGATTGTGTCAGTGTTTTGTTGAGGTCGAGGTGCTCGAATCTGCCGTGGGGATATAGTCTCGACGTACCGAGTTGCCCGGCAGAGGAGAGTACCCGACGGAGACGTCTCCACGGACCGGCAGAAGCCCGGGTGAGATACCGGCGCCCCGCTGGAGATGGGCAAAGGGCTGTAGAGCGGGCGGAGGAAGTTGCGATATGGTTAAGGGCAGGGGAGGAACCTCCTGCCCGAGTTAAGGATGTAGGGCCCAGCTCAGCTGTCGCCCGATGTCCTGGGGAAGCGGCCGTGGAGGATCTCCAAAGATTACGTACCGATTCGTTGAAGTTAAAGAAAAAATTTGACGTTACACTATATATACTCCACCAATCAAAAACGTGGGTATGGTTCGACGGCTCCGCTCACGTGGCGCGTTTACTCCAAAAAAAAATTGGTTTCAAGAATATCGGCCCATTGGCAATCTCCCTATTCATCTCTGGTAATACATTGACTTTTTATGTACAACACAATGGCTAACACGCGTCAGAGCAAGACCGTTGAACAATTGATTGAAAAACAGACCTTGTATTTCGATTTTTATCGCCGAGTGTGGAACAAATATAAAGGCAGTATTGCACCTACAGCATCGGGTCGATATCCACCAGGGAAAAAGGTGAGCTTGGAAAACCTTTGATCGTTGTTTGAAACTAAACTTTGACAAATAACGGACAATCCAGAACTTTCCTCACCGGCTGTGCAAGGGTACATACAGGGGGGATTGTATGAAGAATTAGAAGATATTGTAACCAATTCATTGGCACAAATAGAAGATTTTATTGATCCTCTAGTGATAGTAAAATCAGAGGCATCCTCAAAGGTCGACGACGAAAATGAATCCAATAGTAGTGAAGATGATATGCATAGTCAATGGCAAAGTCCAACAAAGGTAAAGTTGCCAGAAATAAAATTACCTCAGTTTAATGGTGAACTCAAACATTGGGTTGGATTCAAAGATCTCTTCCTCGCTCTGGTTCATTACAATGCAAGACTCTCTGACATAGAACATTTGCAATATCTTCGGGCAAGCTTGAATTGTGACGCAGAAGATTTTATAAAACGATTTACCTTGCCGGATGTAAATTATAGGCCTGCATGGGAGCAATTCACGGCTAGGTGTGATAACGTTACAGCGTTAATTGATTCCAATTTAAAAACACTGTTCTCCATACCTAAGTTTAAGGAAGACAAATCTATAAACATAAGGGAATTGTTAGACGTTCCCAGCCACACCATTGAAGCTATTCAACAACTGGGATTTCCCTTGGCTGATTTGGATCCAGTTCTTGTTTTTATAATCAAAGACCCGTATGCCTTTAGAAACGAGACGATTATGGGAACAACAAGCTCATTCACCCACGTCTTATGCAACATGGACAGAACTTCAGGTCTTTTTGGAAATACGATTCAGATCATTACATGCACTTGAACCAGATTCTGATAAGTCAACTAAATACAGTGATAGTGGTGCATGGGCAGCTAAAACGAAACGCGCACATTTTATGCGTACACGAGGGGATGTGTGTGCATGCTGTGATGGCCAACATTCGTTTTATCAGTGTAAACAATTTCTTAGGTTATCGCAAGCAAAACGATTTAAAATAGCAAAGGAAAACCATTTATGCATAAATTGCTTGGCAA